TTTGGGCAATTCTACTTAGAGACAAGCTGAGTCTCACCTACACACTGCTCATTTTTCTCAATCAGTTTTTCTATGTAAGTGTGCTTTGTTTACTTAAATTTTTTTTGACTTAAATCTTTTCTTAACAGGGGGTAACTATCACGTTGATCGGCACTGCCCTCGTCGACCTCTCCTTCATCTACGACGTCTCCATCGACACGATGTCCTACCTCAAACTGGCCATCGACATTGGCTACCTGGTGGGCTCTTTAAGTAAGAAGGTTTTTTTTATTTGTTTTTTTGAAATTATTTTGACCGGAATTTGTTTCATCGTTCTTTAGGCGGTTTTATAATACACTGGCTCAATCGCCAGCTTGCGATTGCCTTCTTTTTCTCGCTGATGTCAGTGACGATTGCCCTGTTGCCCCACTACCGACACTACAGCCTAATGCTTGGGTGTATGTTCATTCACGGTGTCGGCGATGGGGGCTACGACGTCGCCCGACCCGTCTGGTACGTGGCCATGTGGCCGGTGGGCTATGGAATCATCATCCAGACTAGTCAATTCATGATTGGCCTCGGGTCGATTGTTGCCCCTCTTCTCATGACGCCTTTTGTTTTGGGGGAGCGGAATTATACGTCGAGCTCCATTGGAGAAAATGATTCTAAAAAAATTCCCGTTACCGAAGAGCTTCGACGGGAACGGCTGACGATTCCTTTTGCCTTTGATGGGGTCGTCGGACTGCTCGCTCCCCTCGCCTTGACTGCCCTCTACTTTACCCGACCGTACATTATGCCAAAAGGAGTAGCTGATAAACGAAGAAATTTAGAGAAGGCTGAAGATGGAGGAGGAGATAAGGAGAAAAAGAAGAATAAGAAGTTTTGCTGCAAAAAAACTCGTTTCTGGCAGGTGGCCCTCTGCGGCCTCATGTACGGCACCTACCTCTCCGCCGAGCAAAACTATTTCACCTTCTCCAACGCCATGTTCCAGTACCTGACGGAGGTGGACATCTCCGCCGTACAGTCGGAACTCCTGACTTTCATCCTCTACATCACCTTCACCTTTGGCCGCCTGCTCACCGCTGCTGTGGCGATCAAACTTCAACCGGAAGTGATCATCAGCTACCATTACCTCATTATTCTTCTTTCCTTTCTGGCGATCTACCTTGGAAGTGGCAGCTTCCTGGCGCTTCAGCTCAGTACGGCGTTTCTGGGCTTTGGCTTTAGTGCGATGATGCCCGCCCAGTACGCCTTTGCGCAGAAGTACCTCGGTCTGACCGACGTGGTTGCGAGTACTTTCAGCTTTCTTTTCGCCATTCTCTCGCTGGCCATTCCGTTGGTGTTGACGCAATGTTTTCACCGTTTTCCCCTCTCGCTGCTGTTGATGGAGGCGGTGAGCATTGCCCTCAGTGGATTGCTTTTTTTGGGGCTGCTCGGTTGTTTTGTGGTTGTCAGGAGGAGAAGAAGAAGAAGAGGGAGAGATGGAAGAAAGTTGAAAAATTGAAGAGAAATGAAAGCGCTTTTTATATTTTGTTTTTGTAAAATTAAAAAAATCACAAAAAGTAGTGTCAAATGAGTGTTTGTGTAAAATTTAGTTTATTTCTTTGAAAAGCAAAACTTAACTTCTTAACTCGCCCAAACGTTCCAGTGAGACTAAGAAATCTCTGCAGTAATTATTCCATTGAATTTGAGAATCAGGGAAGAAACTGAACAGTAACACTTGTTACACGCAAACAGTTTCTACAAAAGTTTACTGATTTTTATTTTAAACTGCAATTGTCAATAATTGCACCGCCAAAAAGCAGTGCGCTAAGTTAAACCGCGGCACTTTGCCAAGGTAGACAAAATTGCCATGTTTAGGTGTATGAAATGACATTTTTTTATTACAAAAAATAAAAATATAATAATGATTAATTGATTATTTTCTTTTAATTAAAAAAATAATTGTTATACAGTCAATTTGCAACAAAATCTAAATTGACATAAATAATTAATCATAATGTAATTATACTAAACAGAAAATTTTTGTTATATAAGAAAATTAAAACAAGTGATTTTATTGTGTTAAAAAATAAAAATTACAAATTTTTAAGTTTTTACTTTCAAAAAATAATCATGAAGTTCTTTCAAGTGCTGCTGTTAATCTGTATGATTGCTATAGCTTATGGACATGGTCGACCCGGTTACCACGATAATTCACAAGTTGTGATTACTCAACCGCCTGCTGAGCCATCTCTTGAATGGACTCAAGCACCGGAAGTGACTGTGCCTCCTGTTGAGCCGTCCCCTGAATGGACTGAAGCACCAGAAGTAACTGTACCTCCTACGGAACCTTCTGCTGAATTGACTGAAGCACCGGAAGTGACTGAACCATCTGTTGAATCTTCTCCTGAATGGACTCAGCCACCGGAAGTGACTGAACCGACTGTTGACCCGTTTCCTGAATGGACTGAAGCACCGGAAGTGACTGTACAACCTGTTGAACCTTCTGCTGATTATACTCAAGCCCCAGAAGTGACTGTGCCGCCTGCTGTTTATTCTGAAGCACCTGCTCAACCGTCTTTTGATTGGACTCAGCCGCTTGAACCCTCGACCGTGTCTTTGCCGTCGTGTTATTGTCCTGCACCTGAACCAGCCCCTGAATGTCCCGCACTTGAATGCCCTGCTCCGGAGACCCCTGCTCCAGAGTGTCCCACACAAGATTGCCCAGTTGCTGATTGTCCTGCTCCTGAACCAGTTCCAGAGTGCCCTGCTCCCGATCCAGTCCCCGAATGTCATGCTCCCGAACCAGTCCCCGAATGTCCTGCTCCTGAACCAGCTCCAGAGTGTCCTGCTCCTGAACCTGTTCCTGAATGCCCTGCTCCTGAGCCAGCTCCAGAATGTCCTTCACTTGAATGTCCTGCTTCAAGTTGTTCCAGTGAGCCTGAACAACCATNCCCGCTCCTGAACCTGTTCCTGAATGCCCTGCTCCTGAGCCAGCTCCAGAATGTCCTTCACTTGAATGTCCTGCTTCAAGTTGTTCCAGTGAGCCTGAACAACCATCTGCTGGTCGTCCTCATAGTTAGACCGAACTTTAAGTTATAAAGATTATTTTTAATGACGCAATAAAAAACAACAATTAGAAACACTAATGTTATGCTCAGTTTTTATTTTAGCCAGTTTGTAGCATTATAAAAACTTAAATTTAACGAAATTTATTAAAAGTTTATTGTGCAAACAACATTCATTTAAGAAAGTTAGTTTTTAAATTAACTCTTTTGTTTTATTGAAATAAATTTGACTTTGAATGACTTTAAAAAACAAATATAATAATGTGACGTTTAACCTTTTAATGTCAAAAAGCTAATTTAGCAACTATTAAACAAAAATGATTAATTAGTTTTGATAAATTAATAAAGTTAGTTTGATGTTTTTGATTTTGTTAATAATGCATGTAAACATAAAATTTTTTTGATTATTTTTGTAAAATAAAAAGATATAATTATGTATTAAAAATATTTTTTGTTTTTGACAAAAACAAAAATGTCTAAATTAAGTTTTTGTTTGTTTTTACTGACTATTTTTATCTGTTTGCAAAATTTCAATTGCAATCTTTTTTCTTTTTTTCGGTTATTTAATACTGATCACAGTCATACTTTTGTTCACAACGTATTACATGGGCTAAATCATAACCCAAATGAAACTATTTTGACAAAGTATTTTGATCAAGTTTTGGAAATTCCTAAATTTAAAAAATGTTTTATTGAAACCACTATGGAAAATGATCGACAGCTTATTTTTGAACAACCGCTTGGATTTTTCATTCATAATTTTTTGGTAAAATGAATTATTTTGTAGCAGTATATAAACTTTTTTATATTTAGCATTCCTACAACTTTACTCATCGCCATGGTCATTCTGATGATGCAGTTGCTACTCAAATTAAAAACGTTCTTAGCAATTTGAAAACAATTGTTAATAATGTTTACCAATGTGTCCATGACAATAGTACATCATTTAAATCAACAAAACTTTCTTTCACCAAGTTTTCCCTAATGTCACCTGAAAAGATATCTGCAATTTATCAGCAACCGTTAGTGTTTCCTGAAAAGAAGAAAACTGCACTTAGATCATCAGGAGCGGCAGCGGTTCTTGGCTCATCAGGTGGTTCATCAAATTTACAAATTGATTTTGTGATCACCGATGACGATCTTGCTGAAGAATATCCTTCCGGTTATGACTATCGTGATTTTAGCTATGTTTCGCCGATAAAAAATCAAGGAGAATGTGGATTTTGCGTAAGCTTAATTGTGCTTTTTCACAAAAATTTGTAAAATGTTTTTTACACTACAGTTTGCCTTTTCACTGGTTGCGGCAATGGAAAGCGCCTATATGATTCAATATGGCGAGACAGGCATCTCGTTTAGTGAAATAGATTTAATTGATTGCATGGTTGCCCACAACACGTACACACCTTCAAGAAAAAATTCACATATTGATTGCTCAAATGGCGGTCCACCAGATAAGTTTTTAGATGAAGCAAGTACTGTAGGCCTAATTCCCAGCATTTACGGACGAGATCATGCTCTTTTTTATTCCGATACTGAAGATTATCTGGTAAAAAGGGTTTTGATCTTAAAGTTGTTTGCAGTTTATTAATTGTCGTATATTTTAGTTTACTCCTGAACGCTGTGGAACAAATCCAGTTCAGGCAAAATTGACCCAATACGCGTACATGAGCGATATTAAGGACTCTGATGAACAGCTACTGAAGGCGATTCTCACCAAATACGGCCCCGTGACAGTTAATATGAGAACAGATCTTTTGGGTGATGAAGGAAAAAATCAGCAGTTTTTTAAAATTACAGACAAAATGCACATTCCCTGTAATGCAAATGAAAGTCCAACTCACATGGTGACCGTTGTAGGTATGTGTTTTGTGTTTAAAACGGTAAAATGCAGTTTAGAGTCACATAATTAAATAACAAAATTTGTTATTCAAAGTTTGTTTAAAAAAA